ATTTCTTACGCTACGACAATTCCATTGCAGAATGTTGCGAAGAGCCATTGGGAAGGGAGAATAAGAGCTGCGTAAGTTGTTCTCTGAGATTGTTCGGTAATTCGACGTCAGAAAGTCGAGAGAAGAAGTTTAATACAGAGGATATTTCTTTGTCTTTTGAAATTGAAGAATCAGGTGATGAAACATTGGTATTCAGTAAGGCGCAACCATTGGAAAGAGACGAAGAGGGGGATTGTGTTAATTTTTGATGAGCACGACGGTCAAAGCCAGGGCTTGAAGCCGGAGAGGATGTGCGACGTGGAGTAAATATAGTTTTACGATAGGATGCATTTAATGGGATAACCGGAGAAGAGGACTGAGGAGAGCATATAGTATTTGGGACCTTGCTAACTGTACCAGAGTAAGAACGCATACCGGTACGTAAGTATCTAGCATAAACCTCTTGATATGACTTATTCTCTGTAGACATAACGTATTTTATTTTTTTTTGTCTGTCAAATTCGGGACAAGTTTGGTCGTTAGCTTTATGACTTCCAGAACAGAAAAGGCAGGTTGGGGATGTTTTGTTACACGATTCGCCTTCGTGAGGTTGGGCACAGATAAAACAGCGGGGATTCGACCTACATTGTGACTTGACGTGAACAAACCTACAGCACTTGTTGCATTGAATAGTAGGTAATAAGTAAGTTTGTACAGGATAATAGAATTAAAAAACCATATACGTATTCCGGCAGCTTTTGTCCCGAAAAAGTAAGCACATTCGATTGTGTGGGGATCCACGAAGGAGTCCCATCTTCTCTACGGACTTTTCTGTTAAGCCTGCGGGCACGTACAATTTTTCCGAGGCCCCTCAAGATAAGATCAGAGTTTAATTCTTCGACTATTTCTTCCAATGACCACTCAGTGGGCATATTCCTAACAATTCCCATACATTGTTACATTGTAAGAGGGGATTATCGCCTCATAATTATATTGGAAAGAGTGGCTAGATCTAGAAAATTATTGGCATCTAATGCAGTCTTAAACTGAACTGATATGCGATTTCGACCAACGTGTTTAACACCATCAGGCAGCACACCCTTAATATTATTTTTTGACAAGAAATATCCAAAATGAATAGGTCTTAGAGAAACACCTGAAGAAGGTTCATTTTCTTTTTTAGAAACATGGACAAGAAAAGGGGAGTCAGATTCTTCATATTTATTTTTCTTCGAAGTAAAATCGGGACTTATGTAGGTAGACTGAATAGAAGGAATGGGAAGAACGCCAGTTTTTTTAACAACGCCATGTGAAATATTGTCAAGTTCAAAGTTCATTCGTTTTCTAGTATTATTTAATGTACCCTCTGTCTGAAAAAGCACATTACAATCATCATTCCCACCTCCGGGATCAGGGGGGTCTGTATCCATTTTGGACACAAAAATGAAACTTTAAATATAAATACTTACCTTAGACAAACACAAAACCAATAACCAACAAAAAACACAAAAAGTAAATCAACAGAATGAGTTTTAAACCAAAATTCTAATTAAAATAACCGCAGCAAAAAAAACACTTGCACTACGCACTCAACCAGAAAGCAGAGTCATACGTCCCTTTTTTACAATAATAAATAAATCAGATGACATTGACAACTGTCATTACGACATTGATTACGTCATCTTGACATCCGTTCAGAAATTCCAAACCACAGAAATCATACTAATGTAATAAATGCGAAAGTTTAGATATATGGATGGATGGATGTTTGTCAGTGTTTGTAGCCTAAACGGCTGAGCGGATTTGTATGAAATTTGGTATAGATGTAGATATAGATATTGGTATAGATATTCTGGAATAAAACGTAGGTTGCTTTTGTTTTTTTTATTTTAATTCCACGCGGACGGAGTGGCGGGCGTAAGCTAGTACAAAATAATTCCTTTTAAAAAATCAATTACATTGATATAAAGGCTTCATAAATTGATTTGGAAACTTTCAAAGTTTTAAATCATTATACGATCTATTCTTAATTCACCAATTTTATTCCTATTTAGACAATTTCTGTTCTCCACGTAAACTTTGTCTCCTATTGTGGCAATCGAATATTTTGTTACTATTAATATAAGATTTCAGAGCGTTTTCTAACTTTTTCTGGATCATGATTTGTACATTTTTATTTGATTTGAATAGCAGAACACTTATATTTTCACATTCCAGTTTGGAACAAACTTCGTCATAGTGCATTACATTTAAATGTACTTTTGTAGATTGCATTATCACAAATAATATTTTTAAACACAATTTTTTGAACAA